TCAAAGTCCGTGGGAGATGGTGCTGTCCACCCACCACTGTTTCCCTACTGTTTAATTTAGCTAATATTATTTATTTTTTGCTCCGGTGGTGGTTTATCTTCTTCAATGCAAACTGCTTTCAGACAGCCAATGGAATTTGGCAATTTAATCCCATCCGTCGTGAACCGTCTCAAAATACCGCCAGTCGGGGTGACAGGAAATGATTCCGAGCATTCAATATGTTTTAAAGATGATATAAAGAACAAACCCGAATTTATTGCAACGCACATAAACAGCTTTAACTTTTTAAACACGGTAAAAAATTACTTGAAATTTTCAGAGAAGATTCTTAAAAGAATTTTTTTAAGTAAGACCAAGGTTTAATGGTAAACTAATACCCACTTTTCAAGGGTGTTTCAAGGAAATCCAAAAGCTGTCTTTAAACTTTGTACAGTTGCGAAAAAGTCCATCCTCAGAATTCCTTGAGGTTCTTTTCGAAATTTTTAGAACTCTGTGAGCTCTTTTGAAATTCTTCTCAGAAGTCCTCTCGAATTATTTTTAGAACTCTTCTTGCTTTTAATCAGAACACCTTGCAATTGAAATTCCCTTAGAATTTCAGAAGAATTTCCTAAAAAAAATATTCCCGGCTAGAGCTAGAAATTATCGGTACTGCCTTGAAATTTTCCTAAAAATCCCTTTGGAATTTCACTCAAAATTTAATTTTCTATGTATTCATTTCGGAATCATCTTTGAACTGTCTGCAGGTTTCACTAGAAATTATTTATACGCAGAATTTTCTTGGAATACTCCTTAGAAATCTTTTGGAACTGTCCTCAGGATTCAGTATCCTTGAGGTTCTTCTCGGATTTTTTTTTTAGAACTCTCCTAAGAGCTCTTTTGAAATTCTTCTCAGAAGTCAACTGGAATTATATTTAGAAATCTTCATGATTTTTTCTCAGAACACATTGAAACTGAATGAGCTTAAAATTATCCTCGGAATTTGCTTGAAATTTTGCTTAAAATCCCTTTGGAATTTCACTCCAAATTTGATTTTCTCGGTATTCTTTTCGAAATAATCTTGGAACTATCTGCAAGATGCACTAAACATTATCCGCAGAATTTTCTTTGAATTCTCCCCAGAATTATTTTGGAACTGTCATAAGAATTCAATATTCTTAAGGTTCTTCTCGGAATATTTTTGAACTTTTTTTTTTCAGAGCACCTTGGGACTGAAATTTACCTTAAGTTTCAGAAAAATTTCTTCTGTATACTCCAGAAATTCTTCTCAAAATGCGCTTGAAGTTATCCTCGGAACTTCCTTGAAATTTTTCTCAACTTCCCTTTGGAATTTCATTCAAAATTTGATTCTCTAGGTATTCTTATCTTGGAACTATCTGCAGGATTCACTAGAAATTATTCGTTGATTTTTCATGGAATCATCCCCAGAAATCTTTTCATTTAGAACTGTCGTCAGAATTCAATACTTTTGAGGTTCTTCTCGGAAGTCAAGTTAAAGTTGTCCGTCCATTCACCAAAACGTTGTAGTTTTTACATCAGGAATTTTTAGTTCAGCTTGCCTCCCATGCAGCAGATATTTGCAAATCTTACACCAGAAATTTTTAATTCAGCTTACCTCCCATAAAATTTTATACCAGAAAATTTCAATATATCAGAACCAGAGATAGAAATTCTCACTCAGCTGCACGATAAGCATTTCCTCTTTCAAGCTTCTTTTCGGTGAGTTGTGAACCGTTCAAATTTTCATCTCTCCTTTTTCACCGATAATTAATTATCCTCTCTCATACATATTCCGAAAATATCTCTCTTCAAAACCCAACGAAAATACTTTTTCATCACCCATTTGGCTCTGAAAACTACCAAGAGCGAAAAAAATACCACCCCAAATTGTTCGGCTCCAACCCAATGTGATGTAAGCAGTTGAGGTTTGGGAATTCGCCGTCTCTTTTGTTCTTCCGCTTATTAAATGGTTTACGGAGTGTGAAATCATACTGTGTTATCCATATAAACAGCGGCAGAACGAAAGGGGAAACGATTTCACATAGCCTCACCTGTTTGCATTTCATTGGTTTCAACCAGTCCGGCAGATTTTTTTTATTATTTCCTTTTTATATCTTCTGTCAAATCATAAGGGTCATCCATAAATGACGATTCAATTTTCTTACCATTTTAGACCTTCTCCTCCCCCTTCAATGCGTTTTTTCTATACCTTATGCATGGTCCGTAACAAATGTTGAAACCGCCTCTCCATTACTCCTAAGATTCTACGTAATTTATGGATATACCCTAACTGTTGTTTTGGTCCTTCATTTCGGATCATCGTTTGCGTGCGGAAAGTGAATTTTCAGGTTTATGAAAGAAGTGAAAAATCATTATCGGCATCAAGAATTCACTGAAAAAGAAACGATTTATCTGCTGCTCATGCCCTCCGAAAAAAATAAATCGCTGTTGCTTTTCTCGCGAAAACTGCTGTGAGCGTCTAATATTCTCTCGCTTCTTACATTCTCATCTATTTCTCCTAGCAGGTGAAAAATGACGTTTTTCTCCGCAAGTAGGCGAAAATTTCAAACTCTGATCAGAACGATGCAAATTTTTCACAGTTAATGTTCAATAAAAATTGCTTCTCCAATATTCTGATTGGTTTCCTTATAGCTTGCTTCTCCTATCATTAGAATGTTGCAGGTTTTCCACCAAATAAAACTTGCCTCTATTTTCAGACTTTTCATCATAAATTGTCAATAAAACAGCTTCCCTACAATCATCAGAATGGTGCAAATTTTACACCAGAAATTATTATTAAAGTTTGTTTCTCTATTCAGCAGAAGGATGCAAATGTAAGTACAAAAATTTTCCAAAAAGCTTGCCCATCCGTTCACCACAACGGTGCAGATTTTCCACCAGAAATTTCCAATAAAGCTTAATTTTAAATAAAGCTTGTGCCATCATTTATGCGTTCAGTGCAAGTTTCCACCAGAAATATTCCGTTCATTTCATTTATCAGAGCAATGCAAATTTTGCACCAAAAATTTTCAACAAAACATGCTCCTCCATTCACCAGAACGGTGCACCAAAAATTGTCAGTGAAGTTTGTTTCACCATGCACCTTTGTGGTGCAATTTTAAAGCTTTGTCTCTTCATGTACCAGAATGGTGCAAATTTTCCACCATAAATTTTCAATGAATCTTGCATTCATCAGAACGATGCAAATTATACACGAGAAAAATTAATAAACCTTGCTTCTACATTCACCACAGTGCTGCGAACTTTCCACCAGAAATTTTCAGTAAAATGTGCTTCTCCGAATATTTAGCGTGATTCAATTTTTACACCAGAGATATTCATTTTAATAAGTCCCTCTATGCCCCACTTCGATGATATTTTAACACCGGAAATATTCAATAAAATGCTTTTACTTCGATTTACCACCATGAAGGAGAATTTTTTCAACCTTAAATTTACCCGCTTTTTTTAACTCTCCATGAACCACCCTGAAAAAATTTACACCAGAATTTTTTTGTATGCAGTGGTGCAATTTTTTGACCCAAAAATTTAATTGTAGTTTGTCATTTCATGCACCTTTTGGTGCAATTGTAAGGCACCATCTCAAAGGAATTGACGCAATAAAAAGATTTCAGTGGCCCAATTCTATTAAATGAAGTTATTTTACCTTCAATTCAAGTTATCAAGAAATCAAGTTATTTTATATCATAATTTTGTAATGTGAGTAAAAGTGACCCCGGAATGGTCGTGACTCTCCAGACATTCTAAAATGGGTTGCTGGATCTGCAATAGAGCTATCAGCTTCTAACTACCGAACTAAAGCTGCCTACAATTACCGCAAACGAGAAATTGTAGATGACTTTCTTCTATTATACCACAGCCGGCCAGTGTGGGTTAGATTGAACACATACACACTCACAATTGCAGCCAGGGCCGCACTTAAACGAGAGATAAAGCAGGGCAAGTCAAACTGCTTTAAGGAGCTGTGTCGAGACGCTGATGCCAACCCCTGGGGTGACGCATACCGAGTCATGATGACGAAGATCAGAGGTCCAACGATGTCCGCTGAAATGTGCCCAGAGAAGCTGAAAGTCACCTTGCAAGGACTTTTCCCGAAGCACGACCCCGCGACCTGGCCACGTACATCGTACGGAGGGGGAGAGGGAGAGGGAGAGGGAGATAAAGTCGAAGTCACGAACGAGGAACTCGTAGCAGTGGCGAAAGGATTGAAGGTGAAGAAAGGTCCCAGTCTGAATGGAATCCCCAACGTGGTGTTGAACGCGGCGATCCAGGCGTCCTCTGACATGTTCAGCATGGTGCTGCAGAAATGCCTGAACGAGGGTAGCTTCCCTGACAGGTGGAAAATCAGAAGCTAGTGCTGCTGCCGAAACCAGGAAAATCACTGGAGGGTCCAGCATCGTATAGCACACGCGGATTGTCGGAGAGGAAGTTCGGATTCCGGAAAGGGAGATCAACGGTGGATGCAATTCGGACAGTGGTCGAGAGAGTCAAGAAGGCGTCACAACAGAAGCGGAGAGGAGATCGTTATTGCGCCTTGATAACGGATGACGTCAATAATGCGTTCAACAGCGCCAGCTGGGAGGCCACCGGAGCGCTGCATATAATGAGGATAACCTGGACAGAGGTCCTGGTGTACGAGACAGACATGGGACAGAGATCGATTAGGATCACAGTGGGAGTTTCACAAGGCTCCATACTTGGTCCAACGATCGAGCTGTACAACGGCGTGCTAACGCTGAAGCTGTCCATAGGAGGTGAAATCGTTGGCTTTGCGGACGACGTTGTCTTGACGGTAACAGGCGAGACGCTGGAAGAGGTGGAAATATTGGCGACCGAGACGATCGTCATGATTGATAACTGGATGCAAAGAGCGAAGCTGCAAATAGCCCACCAAAAAACGGATCTATTGGTCAGTATCTGTAAAGTAGGCGGCGGGCAGAAATCACCGTCGAGGAGCACGCCATAGCCTCTAAGCGTGTATGATGATCGATGACCGGATAAACATCAACAACCATGTCAAATATGCCTGTAAGAAGGGTTCTAATGCCATCAAAGCGATAGCTAGCATCATGCCGAACAACTCCGGTTCCAGTAGTAGCAAGAGGCGTCTTCTGGCCAGTGTGTCGTCGTCGATACTAAGGCAAACTAAGGAAACCAAGCAGAACCAAAGGAAACTGAGCAGTATGTTCCGGCTCATGGCTCTGCGAGTCATGAGTGCGTTCAGACTCACCCTGGCGGAGGACAGCGAGTGCTACAGGCGGAGACAAGCCGAAAGAGTACGCAAAGCTGTCAGAGCGGAGTCGTTGGCTTAATAGTAACAGGAGTGGAACACGGCGGAGAACGGTAGATGGACACACTAATAACGATTCTTTCGACCTGGGTGAACAGAAAACACGGAGAAGTCAACTTCCACTCAACGCAGTTCCTGTCTGGCCACAGCCGCTTCAGGAAATACTTGATTTTGAATATATCACCATCAGTCAAATCTCAGCCACAGGAAATTCTGGCTGTTTCAAGGTAAAGTGCACACATAATAAATGTAATACATTTAGGACGTAGGAAAATGTTCAAGATGCACAATTTTTTGACGTAGGACTATGTCGCTGTTTTATATATGGGGGTACACTTTGTGAAAACTGAAAATAGAACATGTAACGAAATTATGAAAGATTTTGAACGTTAATAACTCAGCTGCTCCTGGACCAATTTCAATAATTTTATCTCCAATCGATCAGAAATATTTCTACGCATCGATAGCAATGTTGTTGATCTTCAACAAGAAATTATTTTAAAAATGGGAAATGTCAAGCATTGTTAACATTCCGAATACGGTGGTAAATAACTTTACGCCGACTACGAAGCCTCCGAAAAACGTGTAACGGCAAGTTTGCAATGACACAACTTATCCATTTCTTAATGAATTTCAAAAATTGTGGTACCTTTAGAATTCCTAGGTTTTGTAGATGTTTTTGATTGTAAAAAGATTGGAAATAAAGTCGTCTACTTTTTTAAAAAGTGAAAAGAGTTGTTACATGTTTTTTTGAATTGTGTGTTTGTAGGGTTTTGCAAGTGGTGCAAGATCTGCAATTTAGATTAATGGGCACAAATGTTCACAATTAGCCAAAAAAAAGTCATGGTTCCTATATATAGATCCTGGAGACAACGGAATGGTCCTCGAAAAATCCGGAACATCCGTAAAAGTGGTCAATCCATGAACCTGATCCTAGAGCTCTGCGGTTTTTTTGAAAACATTAGGAGTTGTAATATAAAAAAAAAATATTTGGGGTCGTGACATAAACATGAACCTGGATGTCCATAGGACCAGCCTCCGGAAGATCCGGAAATCCATAAAAGTGATCAATCCATGAAACTGATCTTAGAGCTCCACGGATGTTCCGGATTTTTCGAGGACCGTTCCGTTGTGAACAACTCTTTTCGCTTTTTAAAAAAATAGACGAGTATATTTTCAATCTTTTAACAATAAAAATCATCTACAAAACCTTGGAATTCTAAAGGTACCACAATTTTTGAAATTTATTAAGAAATGGCTAAGTGACTAGTTTTTAATATCCTGGTTTTCAAAACTCGTAGCTCAAGATCTTAGAAAACTTACCCAGATTCTCGAGAGAAAATTTGTTCAAGATAAGATTTTACGAAAAAATTAGGAGTCAAAAATTTCGAAAAATCTTGACGTGTGGCAAAAGTTGTGAATAATCAGGTTATAATTTAATTTCATCGGGTTTTTTAGATACCGGATTTTGAATGTCATGATTCTGATATTTGAAGTGAAAAAAAGTAATAAATCATTTATCAACAACATTTTTTTAAATTTTAGAACTAACTAACAAAATCAAGATTTAACTATATTTCTAATCGAAACTTGCATGATTGTGTTCCTGTTTATAACAAGATAGTAATTTAACTTATTTTTACAAAAGTGATGTTTTTAATGTTTAAAATTAAGTTAGTTGTGGTTAAACCCATTTGGTATCAATTTATTATTTACACGAACATTATACAGGAAAGAGCTTTTTCAGGTAATGTTTTTAATCAAAAAATACACACAAAAAGCACGGATTTTTTTATGTGCTGATCCATGCAAACTATCCTGCAGCTGAATTCCGGGCAAACAATTCATCGAAAAGAAAGTATTTTATACATATTAGGTATATGCAGATATTGAGATTTCTGCCCGGCATTTAGCTGCTGGAGTGCAAATTTGTGGCAATATAGCTAAAACACCAAGGCACGGGTCTTCTCTACAGAGAATGTACAAATATGACCATAAAATCAAGATTCATCATTCAAGATTCCATCTGATTCCATTAGTTGGAAAACTTTTGAATACTTCCTGATCAACCTACAATATCTTGGACTATATGGAGATCTTTCGAATATTTCCTTATGTCTAGAAAGGATGTTTGAAAAAATAAGACTTGGACTCGAAAAAAATGCACCATTTTTATCCGTGTATAACTTTTTTTTCTGTGGGTAAAAATTGATGAAAATCTGGGTATAACTAGTTTGGAGTGAATTGTTTACATGTGCAAAATTTCATAACCATCGGGTCAGTGGTTATTGAGATGTCATCGAAAAAAGAAGAAAATCGCCGGAGAATTTTGCGCGCCGTCGTGGAAAATCTGACTGCGACCATGAGATGGATCGGAAGACAACTGGGAATCACCCATACAACTGTGTCTCGGGTAGTAAAATCGTTTAAGGAGTCCCAGACGAACGAGCGGCGGGCTGGAAGTGGAAGAAAATCGAAGACAGCTTACCCTGTGAAGGCCCGGAAGGTGTTGGATTATTTCAAGCGTAATCCGAACCTTTCGATTCGCGACGTGGCTTTGAAGGTAAAGTGTTCCGCCTGGTTCGTTCAGCAAACCATGAAACGAACTGGGCTTCGTGTATTCAAGGTCCGGAAGGCACCGAACTGGTGTGATCAACAAAACACGGCAGCCAAATCCCGCGCAAGGAAGCTGTATCGAGAGTGGTTAACGAAACCGATATGTGTGGTTATGGATGACGAAACCTACATCAAGGCAGACTCAAAGCAAATACCGGGGTTGGAGTTCTACGTTGCCAAATCACAGTTTGATGTTCCGGAATACATAAGGAAGAAGAAAGTGGACAAATTCGCCAAAAAATACTTGCTCTGGCAAGCCACATGCCAATGCGGTAAACTGAGTAAACCGTACATCACAATGGGTACCATCAACAGCGAAATTTACCGCACCGAGTGCCTCCAGAAGCGTCTGTTGCCCTTCCTGCGGTCCCACGGAGGTGAGACATTATATTGGCCGGACCTGGCATCATGCCATTACGCGAGATCGACGTTGGATTGGTACAGAGACAATAACGTTGTTTTTGTACCAAAACCGCCAACCCCCCAAATTCACCAGAGATTCGTCCGGTGGAAAGATTTTGGGCCATAATGAAGGTCAAAGTTCGAAAATCGTCCCAGGTGTTTAAGAACGAGCTGGAGTTGAAAAAAAGAATGGATGAAAGTTACCAAAAAGGTCGGCTCCACCATTGCACAAAATGTAATGTGGGGTATTAAGGTAAATGTGCGGGCTTTCAGCGATGGAAAGGAAATTTAATAAAGTAATTATGCCGAAACATAATCCATAAGTATTAGTTCATTGCCTGAAAGTTTCAAGAAAATCCGACTTAAAATTAATTTTTGGCGAACACTTTTGTCTGGTGCATTTTTTTTTTTCGAGTATAGGCCTTATCCTGTAACTTATGCAACGTTTCCTGAACATCTACAAACTTAAATTTTACAAAATTTCCTCAACTTCTACGAAGTTCTCTGAATTTATTCCACATTCCACATTTTTTTCCATTTCTTTAAATTCTACAAAAATCTCTGAACATCTTTGCACTTCTGGAAAGACACCTAAGCCATCTACAATTATTCTTGAACACCTAGAAAGTTCCTTGAATTTAGTGAAGTTCCCAAAACCTCCAAGAAGTTCATGGAGCTTTTTGGGAGTAAGATCTCTGAAAAACTGCAACGACGGCTCCTAAACTGAAGCGAAGATCCCTGAAGTTCTTCGAAGTTTATTGAACTATTTTTAGATCTTTTAAAAAATTCCCTGAACTTTTTCAAAATTCCTTATACTTATATGAAGTTTTACGCAGCTCCTCAAAATGCTACGAAATGCTTCCTGAATTCGAAAATCTTCTACAAAGTTTGCTGTTGAATTTCCACAACTATTCCAAGTCCATGAGGCTAAAAAAAACTGAAATTATGTAGAGGTTCCCGATCAATAATGAGCTTCCCCAAAATACAATAATATTCCTTTAACTTCTACGGAACTCATCAAATTTAAATGAATTCTCTACTTTTACGCAGTTTTCAGAACTTTTCCAAGTTCATTTTTTCTACGAATGTTTCTGAAGGTCTATGAATTTCCCAGAATTTCTACCAAGTTAACTTAATGTCTACGATCTTCCCTGAACTTCTATTTGAAGTTTTACGAAGTTTCCACAAGTTAAAGACAAATTCCTGGCCAATTTGTAGAGCCTGAAGACGTTTTATTGCCATCGATTTGATATAATATAATTTCTAGAAAATTGTTTCTTCTAGTCCACAACATAACAAAAGTAATCAACATAAAGGACTTTGAAAAATCTTTGTTGGTGGTTCAATTTTATTAATCATATAAATTATATATTATATAAATTAAAGTTGTAACGAAGCTTTAAATAATGCACTTCATGTGCTTAACATTGTATAACGGTCATCACAAAGTTTGTCATAAAACTTGATTGCATGTTTTGTTCAGCAAAACTACAAAACCATGCTGATGGTGGTGGATTTGACTACCTCCCGGGCCGTAGATTTAGGGGTTGTAAAAGTTTGCCGACGTTCCTGGGCATAAAGTATCATTGTACCCCATAATATCCGAAAGCAAAAATGGTATCTGCTTAGGACGGTCTCAATTAAGTTGGATGTTATTTTCTTAGCATTTAAGCTAATTTTCCACCTTATTTAATGCTAAAGCCTACTCTGTTCACTGTTCGCTGTTCGAAGTAGAAGGCAAAAAATGTCTCCTACTCTTAAACCAAGCAGGGCGAGGTATATACTTATGTTTAAAGTGCTTATATCTCAGAGTAGTAACTCGATAGCACATCACGCTTGCATAGTTCTACCCTTCAGTTGCATCCTTATAGTCTGTATTTGCAGCTTGCCTTTTCCAAAGCTATCAGTGGTTTCTGCTGCATCAGTTGCCGTGCATAATATAACCGGATCCGACCGCTACGATGCCGAGATTTAAGTAAAGAGCACAGCAAGTGCTACTACGCA